TTTTTTTTTTTTGGTACCAGGGATAGAATTCAAGACCTCACACTTACCAGGCAGGCCTTGTGCTGCTGAGCTAAATCCCCAACCCTTACCATTGCTCATTCTTAAATTCACATAAAATTGAGCACCAGAAAAGTATTGAGGTCAAATTACATACAAAGTTTTGCATTAAAAAGCTATTGAAGGAGAAAGGAAGAAACAAAATAATGTCCCTACAGATATTAAAAGCATACCCAGAAAACAGAACAAAATTATAACCAACTATTTCAGAATAAACTAAAATGCACTAAGAGAATAAGACATGAAAGGGGATGGGGATGTAGCTCAGTGGGCCTGCGCCTGCCCTGTGAAAGGTCCTGAGTTCAATTCCCAGTATAAAATGTGAAAGAACATCCCAGTTTTGAAAACTCAGGAATGAGATGACAGAGTTTAGGGAAAACTAGAAGTAAGTGAAAAAAATCATTTCAGAAATGAGGCCTAAACAAAAAGCAAGATGAGAAAAATGATACTACAAGAAGAAAAAAACGAAGTTGGGCATGGTGGCGCAAGCCTGTAATCCCAGTACGCAGGAAGCTGAGGCAGGAGGATCGCTGTGAGTTCGAGACCAGCCTGGGCTACATAGTGAGTTCCAGGTCAGTCTCAACTACATAGTGAGACCCTGTCTCAAAAAACAAAACAAAACAAACAAACAAACCAAGAAGAACAAGGAAGAGGAAGGAGGAGGAGGAAATAAACAGGTGGAAAGGAGGAAATTTTTTTTAAAGTAAAAAAAAAAACCAGTTTGGGGGATACTGGAGATTGAACTCAGGACCTTGCACTTGCAAGACAAATACAGTGCCACTGTTGATTGACATACAAGTTGCTTAAGCTGCTTCTAAGAGTTAACTATTATGAATTGTGTTGCTATAAACATGGGCATGCATATATCACTGTGATAGGATTCTTTAACTCTTTTAGGAAGATAACTAGGAGAGAAATATGTAGATCAAATACAACTTCTTATTTTACTTTTTAAAGGGATCTCCGTACTGATTTCCACAATGGTTGTACTAGTTTACATCTCACCAGCAATGAAGAAGTGTTCCCTCTCCCATCCCCACCTGGGAGGCTCACCATTATTTACTGTTATCACATTTCCTGATGATAGTGTTCTTTCTAAAGTAGAATGCTATCTCAATGTTGTTTTAATTCGCATTTATCTAATGGACAGAGATGTTGAACATTTTTTTCAAGTATTTGTTGGCCATTTGTATTTCTCTTCTAAGAAGTGTCTTCATTTCAGTTGCCCATTTTTGGATTGCATCTTTTATTTTGAAGTATATTATTTTATTTTTTTTTAGGTTTGTATATTTTAGATATTAGTGCTCTGTCCAAGGAATAACTGGCAAAACTTTTTTCCCAATCTGTAGGTCTATTGGTTGCTTCCTTTGCTGTGCAGAAGCTTTTTAATTTGATGTAGTTTTATTGGTTGGTTCTTGGTATTATCTATCTCTTGTGCAGTTGGGGTTCTGGTCACTAATTCCTTGCCTAATCCTATGCCTTCAAGAGTTTTATCAATTTGTATTCAAACATAAAAAGTGTTCCTCTTTTAATACTTAGATCTTTAATCCATTTTTATTTTAGTTTGGTACATGGTAAGAGATGTGGGTCTAGAGTCAATCTTCGGCATGTGTATAGCCAATTTTCCTAGCACCATTTGTAAAACAGGGTATTGTTCCTCCCATATAAGTTTTTTGGCCCCTTTGTCAAAGTTAGCTAGCTGAGTATGCTTGGAGTTGTTTCTGCATCCTCTGTTCTGTTCCTCTGGTCCATGTATCTGTTTTTTTCTCAGTATCATGTTTTTATCACTATCTTTGTAGTATAACTTGAAGTCTGGAATTCTGGTTCCTCCTGCCTTGCTCTTGTTACCCAGGATTGATTTTGTAATTCTAGGTCTCTTATGGTTTCATATGGACTTTTAAGTAGTTTTCTCTACTTCTGTGAGGAATGCTGTTGATACTTTGATTGGGATTACATTAAATCTGTGTAACAGTTTTTGGAAGTGTGGCCATTTTGACTACATTGTTTCTGCCTGTCTAGGTACAGGCAGTATGTTTACATTTTCTGATGTCCTCTTCTATCGCCTTTTTCAGAGTACTGTAGCTTTTGTTGTAGAGTTCTTTAACTTCCTTAGTTAGTTTACTTCCTATATATTTAGTTTTTCTTGATGCTATTGTTAAAGATACTGGTTCTCTAATTTCTTTCTCAGTTTATTATTGGTGTAGAGGAACACTGTTGATTTTTGTGTTGACTTTGTATCCTGCTATGCTACTGAATTTAGTTATTAATTCTAGGGGGTTTTGGTATACTGTTTTGTGTCTTCTATGTAGAGCATTATGTCATCTGCAAATAATGATAATTTGACTTCTTCCTTTCCTATATATAGTCCTTTTATTTCTTCTCTTGTCTGACTGTTCTGGCTACTGTTTTGAGAACTGTATTGAACAGTAGTGCTAATGGTGGGCATCTTTTGTCTTGTGCATGATTTTAGAAGGAACGTTCAGCTTTTCCCCATTTTGTATGATGTTGGCAATAGGTTTCTCCTAAGT